TAATACTTTTTGTCGTAATTCATCTACTTCTATATTTGATGTAATATGAGTAAGTTCAGTATCAATGTTTGAAATATAGTAAGAATGAATTTTTGCTATATCTTCAAGTTTTGCTATATTTAAACGAGTTCTATACAGTATAATTAATTAAATTAAAATAAAATAAATAAAATGTAAAAATAAAAATAAATAAAATCTTATACAATAATTTAATAAACATTTACCTTCTTTGACCATAGAACCACTGAAGTACAGAAAAAATTCTTTTACATTCAGCATTGTGTGGTGTAATTGCCAGAATTCTTAATGCCAAGCATGCCAAATAATTAGGTTAATCATCACAACTTATCCACCAACTAGTTAATGTATTAGTATTATCCACCCAATAGTCATTATATGGTTTTACAAATTCATGATAATTTTTCATTTGAGTAAGTAATATTTTAGCAGATATGTCTCCACTACCTAATGATTTCCATAAGTTAACTACAGCTTTTGCTATTATTCAAAATCCAACAATTTGTAACCCAGCACCTAAAATTATATTGAATATAATTAATAAATAAATAATATAAATATAAAAAAAAATTAATTTGATTACTGACTACGATACTTAGGATGAAAAAAATATCCTAACTAAAAATTTCGAAGTCAAACTTATCCCATTGATGATTGTAAATTTGAATACAAATTCTTCGAAATTCACGATATTCAGTTTCTGGTGGGATATGATGTATTGCAGAAACTAGCTGAACTAGTTTAATATAAACATCTGCTAATGTAGTTGATTTGCATTCAACAGCTTTTACAGCTTCTTTTGCAGGACATATAATTTGTGCTAAACATTCAATATCATCAAAGAATCCTCGAGAATTAATTATATTGGCCACATCTTTTATAACTTTATTCGGATGATTTTTTAAAATCTAATATAAAATAAAAATTAATTTAAATTTTTAAATATATATATATATATAAAAATCATACCATTATTAAATATAGTTGGAATCTTAAAATTGAAATAAGACAATCCCAAGCTGTT